AAAAAAAAAAAAAGGAAAACTGCAAATAAATACAGAGATCTAGCTAGTAATTGGCATGCTACGTTTTTTAGAGGGAATGTGCTGATGACAGTAATTTACTTTGAAATGCATCAAAAATAAGGTGCCGTGATGGACAGATATGTGATAAGGCAAGAGAAATCAAGTATTAATAGTGGAATCTAGGGGGTGGATGTATGTGTGTTCACTGTAGCATTCTCTCAACTTTGCTATACATTTGAAAATGCTTATAATAGCACATTGGGGGAAAACTAGTTGGAAACAGCTAGGGAGGGAGCCCAGTTGGGGAGGCCCTGAAGGGGAGTCCAGCGAGTCTCATCACAGCAATAAAGGAAGCACAACAAGCTGGGGATTGATTGGGGCTGGTGCCGGACTCCTCGAGGGTGCGATCGTAGGTGAGTCAGGCCTACAGGAAACTCATAATTGGGAGGATGACTTTTTAATCTTGCAAAAAGTAATTTGTAGCAACACAGATTGGCTAAATTATGTCCACTTAAAGTGTTTTAACCTACTCTTTTGGGAGACTATGTAATGAATGAAAAACACTGATCTGGACTTAGACAAATTTCCTTTCCTTTCCTCTCCTCTCCTCTCCCCTCCCCTCCCCTCCTCTTCCCTCCCCATCCCTCCCTTCCCCTCCCTTCTCCTTTCTTTTCCTTTCTTGAGATAGAGTCTCCTCTGTCATCCAGGCTGGAGTGCAGTGGTGTGATCTTGGCTCACTGCAACCTCCATCTCCTGTTGAATCCAGAGATCCTCCCACCTCAGCCTCTCAGGTAGCTGGGATTACAGGAACATGCCAACATACCCTGGCTAATTTTTAAATTTTTTGTAGAAACGGGGTTACCCAGGCTGGTCTTCGACTCCTGGGCTCGAGCGATCTGCCCACCTTAGCTTACCAAAGTGCTGGGATTACAGGCGTGAGCCACTGTGCCTGGCCACAAATTTAATTGTCAACCCTAGCTGTCTTACTCATGAACTGGGCTGTCTTAGGCAACTTGCTAAATCTTTCTGTCACTGTCACAGTTGCTTCATGTGTCATGTGGTCATAGTTCTGCCTACCTAATGGGTAGGGTTAAATGGAAGTTCTCAACAAATGGTCGTTTTTATTTATTTTTTATTTTATTTTATTATTATTTTTTGAGACAGCCTTGCTCTGTCACCCAGGCTGGGGTGCAGTGGTGCAATCTCAGCTCATTGCAACCTCCACATCCCTGGTTCAAGAGGTTCTCCTGCCTCAGCCTCCCGAGTAGCTGGGATTCCAGGCACCTGCCGTTGTGCCCAGCTAATGTTTGTATTTTTGTAGAGACAGGGTTTCACCATGTTGGCCAGGCTGGTCTTGAACTCCTGACCTCAGGCAATCTGCCTGCCTCAGTCTCCCAAAGTGCTAGGATTACAGTCGTGAGCCACCGCGCCCGGCCCAAATGGTAGTGTTTATACCTTTCCACATGTAATCAAAGAGGCTTGCCCAGAAAAATTTGATTTTACCTGGAGCGTCACTCAGAAGAACAATATATGTTGGGATTTGAAGCCAGAAGACATGTCATCAGGTACGATATTTAGGACATGTGGTTCTTCAAAGACTCTCTAAGGCTATGGCTTCTTAGCTTCTGGGATGCTCAGTAATGCTTGCAAAGGAAATCTGCATCCCAGCATGTCCTAAAACATGCCAGCACCACTATATCATTCACTACATTTCTTTTCTTCTTGCATCTTTCTTTAAAAACAGCAGCTACAGAAGGAGGAGCATGCCTGTGTTTTATAGCTGCTTTCTCTCCCCTGCCGATTTCCTGGCAAGCGTCCGATTTCATTATGACATGGAGAATCAACTTTGGGTCGTGGGAGGCTCATTGAGCTGCCGTAATGCCTGGGCACTTATTCACTGTCCTCTCCCATGCTGCTTCCAGACTTGACAGTCAGCACGACAAACACTTAATGACTCCTGACTTCCGGGAGGCCTCATACTTCACACCCGATGGGCTACAGTCTGTAGTGGGTCTGCTCCTCCCCATGTTCGTGAAAGACTGGCAGAGGTATACTCGTAAAGTTTTATTCTCCCATCTTCTTCTGCTCATTCGTAAGGGCTTCCAGACACACATAACTTACTGATAGTCGGACTCTGAAAGAAGCTCCTCCAAGAACGCCTGCTGGGTAATTGAAATGATGCTTTTCAGAAGTTTTCACGTTTCTATCACTATGCAGTTATTGATGGCGGCATTCCTGAAGAATGTATTGCTCTTGCAAGCACTTGCTGGGGCTTTCCAGGGTCTTCCGAATCCGTTTTGATTTTGTTTACAGTTGCTGGCTTGTTTGGTGACTTGGAGATGGTGGTATGTTGGGATGATGCCCAGGAGGTCCAGGAATAGACTTTGCAGGTAGAGAATGATGGGAGAATCTTTCTGCCTTTGTTTTTCCACTGTCTTCTTTTCTTTTTTTTAAAGACAGGTTCTTGTTCTGTCACCAGGTTGCAGTGCAGTGGTGCAAGCACAGCCCACTGCAGCCTCGATCTCCTGAGCCCAAGCAATCCTCCCAGCTCAGCCTCCTGAGTAGTTGGGACCACAGGCATGCACCACCACACCCAGCTAGTTTTTTTTTATTTCTTGTAGAGAAGGAGGGCCCCCTATGTTGCCCAGGCTGGTCTTGAACTCCTG